TTCACTCTTACTGTACCTGTGCTCTGTCACAATATTGAATATCAGCATTCATGAAGCTCCCTCCCACACAGTATTTCCTCCACTCAGTAACATCAGCAAACACAACCAAGCAGAAAACACCGCATTAATGAGTGTTGCTCCTCAGAACATGAGCCCTTCAGTTAAGTCTGTGAGTATAAAACATAGTGGGTGAACTGTTTAGTTTTCATTGGGATTTAGGTCTTCCTGGCCAGCTCAGAGTATATGTACATGTCAAGCTAAGATAATGTGCACATTTCTTGAAGATCTGTTGCTAAGCTGCACTATACAACCATACCACATTACTAGCACTGCCTACGTAGACTTTCTGAGTTGAATCTGAGTCCACTGAAAAAAAAGTGAGAGAAATAACTGTATCTTCCACACTAATCTCCATGAAGGTATGAAGCCTGCAAAGATGATTCCATATGTGTTCGTAACTGGCTGACAGACTGGGAATGGGATGAAAGTGGAGAAAACCACTGTAAGAATAAATGTATTCCGTACAGCGAGGTAAGAAAACCTGATCAACTGGAGCAGAAGAAGTGGCATTAAGAGTTCTTTTTTTTTTTTTTCCCTGAATTTATGGGTGTAAAACACAACAGGTGAATTATTTTTACTTCAGCCGTTTCAAGCCATACCTACATCAGACTTTTTAAGTATATAAATTTTAAAACATTCATATTTATGTAGGTCGCTTACTCTGAGTATATACACATTTAATTAATCACTATTCATACCACTTGTGAAACAAAAGTTCAAGCAGCACTGATATTTTAACCACAGTGGGGTTTAGGAAGTAAAAGATAAATGAACTTTGTTCATACAACAGAGACACTGAGATGCATTTTATAAGGTTCCTTACATAATGTGGGGCTTTGCACACCTCTGTGTTTTTAAATTGGGACGTAAATTTCCAAATCACTAAGGAATTTTTAAGGTTTTCTTGCTTGTTAGGCATCTTTGCCCTTTTCTCTTTTACTTTGTTAAGTTCAAGTCCTTCTCCATCCTCCAAATCCCTAAGTCCTGACGTTCTTCTAATTGTCTCCCTTTTCATTCTCCATAGAGCTGTCATATCTCTGATGTGTGTTCTCCATTGTGTCTGCCAATGGCTAGGCAGAGCTAACTTTGTTCCTTATAACTCTGATGGTTAAAGAGCAGCACTGACAAGCTTTCTGAGAGCTCATCCCATCTTTCTGAGAAGGTTTAATGGTTGTAATAACTAATTTTATGAGAAAAAGTACATAAAATGAGAACTGATAAGACTTACGGGAGCAAGGTTGTCTGGAACCTGATCTACAGACCTTTCAAAAGTCAGGTAGGATTTTTTCTAGTGACTCAAGTAAGTTTAGCATCAGGGCAACATAATACAGCTCAAACCTGCTATGCTTATTTGAATATTTGTAACAGTTGAACTTCACTGAGTCCATGAAAACTGTCCAACTTGCAGAAGTAAACGAAATTTAAGTGTAGTGCTTAGGGACTGGTAGTAAGGCTTGCAGAGATCCCAGATTCATTGTTTTGAATTCAAGTGCATGTACTTCCAGAAGTCAGTTCAGCAACTGATATAAGTGGAAGTCACAGCCCAGTTAGTGCAGGATTGCTGTCTGCCTTGCAAAATTGACACTAATCAGCAGGCTCAGGAAGGCAGCCAAAAAACAAATGGGCTGTGGACACTTACAGCTTAGTTTCCCAGATGTGCTAAATCATCAGTAGTTCCAAATGAAGTGAAAAACGAAATTATAATCTCCGTAAATAATCTCCAGTCCCTGTTCAAACTGTGCCTGGTCCAGAGATAGGAGTTTTTACCCTCAAATTCCCTTGTACTTATTTCTTAAAGAAAATATACCATGTGCAGGGAAAAACATGCAGCAAATCCAGAGGTCTTATCATTTGAGGCCAGGCACAGCTATTCCTAAACTAAACGGAACCACACCCTAAATTGCCCATGTTTTTCACCAAAAATAGGCTTGCATGGTAAGTCAGAATAAAGATGAAGTTTCTTCAGAGAAATTAAAAAAACACATTTCCCATATGAAAATTACACGATATACAAACACTAGACTCGCTTGGTTTGGACTCGACTCATGGAAAAGAAAGTTACTTTTACCCAGAAGCTCAAAGGGCTCTCCAATGTCAGAGCACTGTAGACAGATGCTTACTTTCTTTTGATGCCCTTAGCTCATACAGAGCACCAATCAGCAGCCCTACATTTGCCATATGCAAGTGGTTGTAAGGACTATTTGGAACAAATGCTGAGTGCGGAACAAATGCTGAATATTAAGAATGCACAATGGATCATAGCCAATTTTAGCCTGGCTAAAACAAGGCACATTTTGTCATTCTTCTGCCAGCTGAGTGCTCCCCAAGCAATGTTAATGCATAGACTAGAGCATCTTCCAAGAAGCTAAAGAATCAGAATCCTTTGCAGTAATTTAGGGACATGTTTGGTAAATGGGCTGTGTGCACTGTTTGTTTGCTGCAGCATTCTGGCTATGCTCTGATCTTTAAGCAGAATTAGGAGGAAGGTCAAAAAACCCCTACCAATTTAGCAAGTAGAAGAGCATGCATACATGTTACAGAACCTGTGGGACATAAGATTAGGATGTAGCCATGTCTCCTGCATACAGACCTAAAAAAACCCACATGACAGCTTTTAATACTTTCTGGAATGATTAGCTAAAAGCAGGTAGAAATCCAGGAACTGTACAGGAGCTGGAAGAAAATGTCTAATGCTGCTTAAAAGCACAGGAATGGTGGCAAAGAAACAGCTAAGATTGGCCTGCCCTGAGAACACAAGGAGAGAACAAGCAGCAACCTTCCTATTTCTGACCCTGCATTGCTCCCAGCGCACTAGCCAACCTCCACACTCCTCCAGCAACTGCAGCATCTGTGGAACAAGCCCTGGCTGGAGATGGTGTGAACTGAAAAGCTATTTTACAGACCACAGAGTCTTTGGGGCTATTTGGAATGGACTCTCTATTATTCACAAAGGACAGATTTCTGAGGCAAAAGCAATAATTATGATTTTTTCTCATCTGCCTTCCTGCACAGTATAGGTCAACATAGTTTTGCATGTGGGGAGACAAGGAGACATCTCGTAAGAAGAACTTGTGGAAAATAGGTGGAGCAGAAGGAGCTGCAGGACTACAGATGCCCAGTCCCACTTCCACATAATAGACTTAAATCTGTAATCATTTTTTTCACACAGAGCAGCTTCCATGCAGAAATCTCCCAACCACAAACACAGAGCATTTTCTCCGAGATTCAGTGTCAGATCTTTGTATGAGCTGGTGATGACGGTAAACCAGCAAACCATCCAGAAATTAGAACCATAAGAGAAACACTGTAGGATTAAAGAATCAGCGTCACCTGCAAGAACTGCTTGTACTATTACAAATGAAACACAGCTTCCTTCAGAGAGACGCTGGTGACACGGTCAAGGTGAATCAGTCAATAATGGAACCCAGCAGTCCTGTTGCCTGGTCCACTGTTTCAGTCATTAACACTCCCACTCCTTAATTCCCAAGGCTTCTACTCCTGCCATCACTCCCACCCCCAACTTCATTCTTAGCTTTGCTTCTGGGATTACCTAAAGCTTCCTTTACAGAAACAGAAAAGATTCAACCACAAAGACACATGGGAGAAATGCAGGAAAGAAAGTGTATATCCTGCCCACTCTGTGGCTGGATGCGGTAACTCCTAAGCTAATACACTTCAGGCAAACTCAAGCTGGGCGGACATAAGGTTGTCACAATATCAGCTTGGCAAACAAGAAATATCTTTGTTGTGTGATTGTACAGGTCCTATGACACAGGCCTTACAAAAAAATGTAGTATCAAGAACGGGACAGATTCACTTGCAGAGAGTGCAAGAAGCTGCAGTTTACAACTTCTTGAGCCAGAAAGGCCATTGCACCACTGGACACAGCACTTTGGAGGCTTGAGGAAAACTTATCTTCACGCAGTTTCTAAGTTACGTCCCTTCTCTTTGTCTGTGAGGTCCTGCCTGGTCACGATGTACACTGCAGCAGGCACAGTGAGATCCCACGGAGTCGTGACTCCACTGGGCTGTCTCTAGCCTGTAGCTATAAGGATTCCCGTATTTAAAACACTCAGTCTGGCGCTTTCAGCACTACTCAGATCCTGAGACATGTCAGAGTGTCCTGACATGCTACAAGTTGTACTGGTTGTGGCTGTCACACACAGCTTTGGTCTGTCAGACCCAGAAAGCTAGCTGGGCTGTTAGTCCCAGGGTGGAAACAAAGGGCTGGGTGTTGATCATTTTGCACCTTGTGTAATCACTTGCTCTCACAACAAACAAATCTCTTTTGCCAGCTGTGGGACTGGATAAGATTTTAAGATATCTCAGAAGTGATGAAGCATGTCACACAGCAAGATGGTGGATGACTGGAGACTGCTTTTTTATAATCTAATACCAATTTTTAAAAAGTTATAAATATTTATCAATTTAATACAAATTGATTCTTAACTCAATTCTTTTTAAATTTAATTGATGCATTTCTTATTTGACACACAGATGTATGCAAATGGGACTGACATGTGCCAGAATATGTGGGGGGAGTCATTTAAGGTGAGCAAATCCTCCTGCCTCTGCTTGCAAATGAACAAGAAGGACATGATGGCAATCAAGTATCTCCTCTCCGAAAGCTCAGAGGAGAGCTCCAGCAGCAGCAGCAGCAGCGAAGAGCACGCCTGCCAAAAGAAACTCCTGAAGTTTGAGAAACTAAAGGGAGAGGAAGGAGAACAGGCAAGATAAGTGCTGGTGGATGTAAGTCAGGACAAGAGAAATTGTCGCGGAGGCTGGGCTCAGGGCATCATGCCAGCCTGCTTTATCCCTTACTTCCTAGAACGTAATAAATCAATGGCTGGTTATATTAACCTTTCTCTGATGTTTTGCATCTGCATCACAAAGCTCCCAGACATGTTAGCACAGGTGTAATCTTGTGACTTGAACTGAACAGCTAGAAGCCTGAAGGTAACATCTAGGGGTTGACTTCCAAAGAGGAGAGGCACAGGCAGCTCCTGCTGACTTAAGGTGGAACAGTGAGAACGCAAGACCTCTGGAAGGCCATGCCAGTAATGCAGCAAATCGTCAACACAAACCTGTCATTAGCATAGGCACACAGCACTCCTGTCACAAGTGCCTGTGTGCCTGGCTCTGCTCAGATAAAGAAGAAATGCTGCAGGCAGAAATAGGTCAGTAAGCCTGGCTACTGACCACTGAAAATGTATTTATTTTGTCTCTCAAAAACATTCTTGCAAAACAGGGGATCATGGTGTACTAGATAAAACCCTGGATCCATATATTGCCAGTATACAGCATGCACGGTCTGTTGCACTGGGCTTTTACCTTAAACAACAGCAGTACAAAAGTCTCCTGTAATATGCATTTGAAGCATAATTTTGAGTGCAATTAATCCCACCGAATGATTCCAAACAGAATGATCTCTGACAAATGGAAGTGTCAGGGAGGGCCCCAGTCAGGTTGCTCCCCTCAGTAATTCTGCTTCCCAGCATCACTGTTACAGTTAAAGTAAAACCAAAATCTGCACCAATCCCAGAGGGACTCGTCAGGTAAGGATGAAGGAAATCCTGCTTTCTTAGGCATCCTCCATACTCTCTCTGACATCGCTGAAGACTGGACAGGTCTCTGCCATTCGGTACAGCCTTTCATAGTGGTATCACCAGGGAAACCATGAGAAGGATTTAATTTGGGGGGTCAGATTACTGAACTGTGAAAATCAGCATCATCTCAGTGCTTGCTATAGAGCTAGGCACCTTACAGCATTTAAGGATCTGGCCCACAGTTAAAACAATGACTTGGCACATCCTGTTAAACTAGGAGAATCTTAAAAATCCAGCACACTTTCTTCACTGGGCTGTTTATTTATTTGAATGGTTTCACACAGCTGCAATAGTAATGCTACACCCATTAGGTCATGATCTGCTTCCAACCAGCTTCTCAGTATATTTAACAATGGACTAATTCCTACCAGCACTGAATTGTTTTTAGAATTATATTTTGCCACATCTGTATTTCATGCTAACTCAATTTGTCAGTTCTACTGTTTGAAAAGAAAAAACAAGCATTTGGTCTCCCGTAAAGCTCTGACAGTCCTTTTCCCCCCTATTTCACTAACTCCATTCTTTCCTGTCCTTCTTTATTGCACCTGAATCAGAGCAGAAATTTTCCTGCTTTTTATTTTGCTGTGCTCAAAATTCAAGGATTAATTATCCCCTCTCACTGCCATAACACCAACTTTTTCTGTATCACCATGGCCAAAGTTCTTCATGTTCTTTGTTACGTATAACACAATTGTCTCTGCCTGGGTCTCTGTTCTTTTTCTTCCCATTCCACTTTATTCTCTGGCTAAATTACTCTCAAAACCACTCTCAACAAACAATTCTTCCATGCTTAGTTCCAGGATGACCATGACACTGGTTACTGCCTGCTCTTAAACAGCACTGGATCCTACAACAACTAAGGCACCAAGACCATTTTGCTCCTATTCGTAACTTTCCCACTGACTCATGATGTACCCTAAGCAAACCATTTAACTCCTTTGTGACCGCAATAATTTTTCAGGGGTACCATATTTCCTCTAGTTCATCTCTTTTCTAAGCCAAAAAGTCAAGAGCTACTCAGTTGTCCCTAGCATAGAAATTGTCCCATACCTCTTGGTCCTTTCATTGATGCAGATATGCTTTATTCAAATACAAGTTATCATCCAGAAAGACTTTCAGTCTCAATTTAAAACTCCAAATAATGGAGAATTGTCCAATGCACCTGGTAATTGTTTCCTTGGTGTTAAAGATTATCCCTAATTTAACATCTGTTTCAGCTTTCAGCCACTGTTTTTTGCTAAAGCCTGTTGTATGAAAGAGTTCTTCAGTATTCAGCATTGCTCTTCTGCTCAGCAGCATATACACTAGATCAAATTGCTTCTTAACAATTAGCTCTATCTTAGCTCTATTTAGTTTACATATGTCATTATAAGACATTCCCTCTCTCCTTAAATCATACTTACGGTTCTTCTCTGTACTTTCTCCACTCATTAATATCCTCCCTAAATTGTACAAATCAAAGCCATACTCCACGGCAGTGTCAAGAGTGAGCTACAGAGAGAGCATAATGTCCCGGCCTCTCTACACACTTTTCCCTAATTGCACTGCCCATGTCTACAAGAGCATCATTCTGATTATTTGCACACCTCCAGTGTCCATGTGTTACGATTCCTCATTTTGTCTTGGTGTTACTCTTTTCCACTATACAGCTCCCTGGTCCCAGAGGTCTGAACTGTCATCTTAGCTCTTAGGCTTACTGCTTTGAATGCGGTTGTATTACAAAACCTTCATGTGAATAGACCAACTTTCCTAAGCCACTGTTTGCTCTCTTGTCTAGCTGCTTTATCCTCACAGTAATTTACATCTTAGACAATCTCTGTGTCACTCAGAAATGCTATCAGTGCTGATTTTACATTTACAAAAAGGCTAGGATAACTCACATAAAGCAAAATTAAAAATAACACAAATCACTAAAAATCAGACTACAACAATACACCGTGAAGGTGAACCAGGGAAAAGAAAGATCCAAGTAACTGATGACTGCAGACAGCCCCAGCTAATGCTGACCTGATTTGGTAAGTGCCTGCTATGCATCGCAGCTCAAAAGCACATGCCCTGCTTCTGGACCCATGCTGGCCCAGACAACTGAAATGTCTCTGTATTTAGTGACACTAGACTCGACTCAGATCTTATCAAAATGTCACAATGGTAGATCAAATGCTTTGTGAAATACGTTGTGAAATACGTTCCTACACTAATCTGTAGGAAACAGACTCACAACCTTTATCAATAAATTAAATTGGATTTATCAACAAGGCAATGTTGATAAAAATAAAAATTATTGCCAATTATTGACTTATTTGCTACCTGGCTAAGTGTCAGCTTTTGTACTGTGCTACTTGGGACTGGTGTCACGTTAACCCTAACACAGCTAGCTGTGTCATCCTGCTTGCTCTATGTATTTAATTTTCTTTCCTTAAACGTTGGCACAATACTACGAGTCTTCTGAAATTTCACTGAAATGCCAGGAATTATTACAAATGAGATCTCTCTTCACAGTTCTGTTAGAACTCTTTAGTACAGGTTATGTGAGCCTGCTTGCTGCTTTAAAATTATTGTTACTTATGATGATGAACCTCATCTTTAATTACTTGCAGACTGAAAAGGATTTCATCATCCTTCTGTAATACAAATACTTTATCCTGCATATATTTCAATACTAAGCATTATTAACAAAACTTGCCCACTGTATCTTGTGCCATTGCAAGGCTTTCTTTGTCAGGTTACTCAGTTGCTTTCACCTTCAGTGTAGTTGTGCCAGCCACAATTTCCTGTAGTACCTTTAGAGTCCTCGCTCTATTTTTACAGTTCATAATTCTCCATAGATATTGATTGCAATATAGCTTCCTTTTTAAAAAATAATAAGCATCAGTAATGATGACGTTTTCAGCTTCTGTTGCATTTTTCATGTGCAGGTTTCACTCAGAGCTTTTTATAAATATTCATTAATCTTCAAAATATACCTGAGAGGAAAATAAGTAGTGAGAAGCAAACTGAGTCAGTGGGAGAGAGTCAGTAAGAGACTTATCTGATCATTGCAAGTATTGCAGAACTAGAACTAGCACGGACAAGTCCTGTTTCAGAGCCTTATTTCACATTGCAAATGGATTTGCGCTTTGTAGTTATAAAAGAGATTTTATGAAATAAAATATTGCAAAAATCTGAGCATCCAAAAAATAGAACAAGTTGTTAAACAATGTATTTCCATGCACCTTGAAGGATAATGAAATTATAAAAATAGCAATTGTTAGATTATTTAAGACAAATAATGTCAAAACAGGCTAATTTCTCTTGCTGAGAGACAACGAGCCTGCAGAAAAAGGGAAAGCTGTAGAAAAGAGATGGCTTTTTGAGGGTTTTGATAACATTTGATGTAACATTCTGATAAGCAAACTGACAAAACCAAAATGCAAATGAAATCACCATAACATGGGTGCACAACTGGTTAAAAAATATATTAAAATATTACTATGAGTATGTTGTCATTAATCTCAGACAGGTCTTCTGTTAGGAATCCCAAAGGATCCGTTCTGATTCTAGTCAACACTTTTGTTTACTCAGACAATGAAGTAGAGATTTTGCAAGCACTTTGAAGGACAAGATTAGAATAAAAATGATCTTTCTAACCAGAGAACTAACCCAAGCCCCCAAAGGTGAAATTCTGAAAAGGGAGATGAAAAATGTTTGCACTGAGAAAAGGTAAATCAAGGAAAAAATTCATCCAGGGAAATACATGGCAAGGAAACAGCAGAGCAGCCAAGGAGCTGGGATGCATTGTAGCAACCTATGCCATTTACAGTTGAAATGTCACTCTCTGGAAGTTTTAATCTTTTAAGTCTTCAGTGCATGTGGAGCCCTGAATGTCCTGACTCACAAAGGAAGCAGATGCAGGACCTGCAGACATCCTACTAACAGTTACTCACAGAGTTCGTGACGTATCTCACATTCCACAGAGGCGCTGCTTCTAGAATGACCCCACTGCACACAGAGGCTGTGGAATGTGGTGGGTATCAGCAGAGTTTAACTCTATCCATCTTCTCAATGAAATCAGCTCACAAGCTCTGTCAGCGCAACTGCAATACCTTCTAGGAGAGCACACATGCTCCTGGTGTGTATCTAATGACTATATAAAATAAAGGGAATAAAATTAGCTGAATTTATGCACATTTTTGGTTATTTTCCTTCCTTTTTTCTGTTCAAAAGGTTTGCATGACTTGGAGTTACGTAAAAAAATGCCACATGCTCTAGACAGA